TAAGTGCTAAGAAACGAAAGGCCTATTTAAAGGATTCCTCAAAAGATAGCCTTTTAAAATCTGACGTTGGACATACATGTATGTGTATTCAGAAAATTAAAATACACGTGTTCTATCCATTCTCAACATATTTTTCAAAGTAATATGATATAAAATTCAGATGTAACGAAAGAAATCAGTACATACACCACGAAAAATACCACAAGACGATTTCACTGTTGTTGAGACACATGGTTATTCTGATCTTCATGCCAGGTGGGCAAAGTTCAACAATAGCGTCCCAGGTGTGCGAACGCACGATTGACCTTCAGCTGACTAATCATAAAAATGAGGAATGTTTGCTCAAAATATTGATGTATATCGACAAGAAAATGCTTGAAAACACATTAAACAGGTTATCTTTATCTGACATGACTCAAAAATACGTCCTAGTTGTAACGAGAAGTGTCAGTTGCTAAGTTAGACTAGTTTCTGCACTTGTATTCACCGAGATGACTACAGATAAACTGTTTTTGCGAATCATTTATCTCTCTCATCCTGCTTGCAGTCTTCCAAAAAATTCCTCAGTTGAATTATTATGGTTCCCAGCAAGAGGATAGACGACTGTTCAGCAGGAAAATGTGGATAATAAAAATATTAAAATAAATGACATCAACTATAAATCTATCCCTAATCGTAACCATAAGCTTAATCCTGACCCTAACACTAACCCTAATCATAACCCTTATCCAAACCGTAATTTACTCCCCTAATGATTATTATAACCCTGATCCTAACCCTAACCCCAATACTTACCTTAACTCTAATCCTAACGAGCTATTAACAAATTGTCCAAACAGTACATAAAAAAGGTGATCTGGGTGAAATTTGCTCCTAAGTTGGTGAATAATGTTGATATTTCAGATATGATAATGACAGATGCCATTAGCCAACGACTAGCATGCGTTCAAGGTCATTAGAGCGTTCACACCCCTCGGACGCTATTGTTGAACTTCACCGTCAGGTGATAAGTATGAAGAAATCTAAGGAAGATTCTTATGGTAGAAAAAAGAGCAGGAACGTCTGATTTGATCAGTTGTACTTTACAGAAATTTTTATCTGTCTTCTATAACATTCTCATCTCTGTGTGAATTTGGGTCAAGCACTTTAAATGAGCTGGGAGTGTATTTCAATAAACTAATTTTTAGCAAAGTATTGTAAAAAAAACTATTCAGAGTTGCATGTATAAATTTCCTACCACAGTATCTTCCCTTTCTTTTAGTTTAACATAAATTTCAAGCTATACGGGAGGCAACAATAAAAAAGCATTCGAAACACTGAGTAAGCTGACCAATACGAAACTGAATAGAGCAACCGTAATTGAGGATGGTAAAGGCACCCTCTTAACAGAAGAAGCAGATATCCTTAGAAGGTGGACAGAATACTGTAAGGGACTCTACAATCATAAAATAAGCCCTAATTATAGCCTAATAAACAATTCATACTGGGACAATAGGGAGATCGGTGATTCACCCATACTAGAGTCAGAAGTAGAGGAAGCAATAAAATCACTTAAGGGAGATAAATCACCAGGAATTAACAACATACCGGCAGAACTAATTAAACATGGTGGACCACAAACAGTTAAATGGCTGAAAGCAGCCTGTCAAAAAATCTGGCAAGAAAAAGAATGGCCTAAGGAATGGACTCAGTCACTAATCATTCCAATATTTAAGAAAGGGGACGCAAAGCAGTGCGAGAACTACAGAACAATAAGTTTAATCAGCCACCCAAGTAAAGTCATGCTGAAAGTAATATTGAACAGACTCAAAAAGAAAGTAGAGGAAATACTCTCAGAAGAACAGGCCGGATTCAGGCCGGGCAGAAGCACTGCTGAACAAATTTTTAACATAAGGGTACTAAACGAAAAATGTCTACAACACCAAAAAATGCTAGTACACAACTTTATCGATTTTAAGAAGGCCTTTGACCGTGTGTGGCACGAAGGCTTATGGCAAGTCATGAATAACTACAATATAGATAAAAACATAATTGAGGTTATTAAGTCTTTATATAACAAATCTAGTAGTGCAGTATCTCTAAATAATCAAACTGGCGAGTTCTTCAGAACAACTATAGGAGTACGCCAAGGGTGCATTCTCTCACCAGTCCTCTTTAATTTATTCCTCGAACATATTATGACACAAACCCTACATGACTTTACACCGACACTTAGCATAAACGGAAGACCAATTTCCAACCTCAGATTTGCTGATGATATAGCCCTCATTGGGGAAAACATTGATCAAGTTCAGGACCTCACCTCAAGACTTGATGTTGCAACCAAATCTGTGGGCATGGAAATCAGCACAGAAAAAAGCAAAATACTCATTAACGGAGGAAACAACTCAGATAGATGTATCAGACTTGATGGACATGTATTAGAAGAGGTTGAAACTTTCAAATACCTTGGGTCTACCCTAACAAAAGATGGAAGGTCCACTAAGGAAATAAAAATTCGACTAAACCTAGCCTCTGCCACCATGTCCAAGTTAGGGAAAATATGGAAGAGCAACATCAGCGTCTCAGCAAAAATGAAACTCCACTCGTCACTGGTCCTCTCTGTATTCCTATATGGATGTGAGAGCTGGACCCTGAATGCAGAGACAGAAAGAAGAATACAAGCCTTCGAAAACAAAAGCTATAGAAGGATCCTAGGAATAAGTTACCTTGAAAGGAAAACTAATGAATATGTCTTACACCAGGTCCATAGACTGGCAGGAAAACAGGAACCACTCCTTTCAATCGTAAAGAAACGGAAACTACAATGGTTCGGCCACACGGTAAGACATGACACATTGTCCAAAACGATTCTACAAGGCACAGTAGGAGGAGCACGAAAGAGAGGTCGACCGAATAAGAGCTGGCTTGACAACATAAAAGAGTGGACTGAAATGCCCTTGGATACGCTACAGAAAATAGCATTAAACCGAGAAGAATGGCGAAGACTGATAGCGCGAACTGTCATAGCACCCCCACGACGAAAGTCAAGGGACTGATGATGATGATGATGATGATGATGATGACGGTAAGCTGATCTCAGTAAATCAAGTCTTCAAGTTATAAATACACTTCTCATATTCAGAAGTCAGTTGCCTCGAAGCATCTAAATTCATTTTTTCCAGAGTAGTACTGAGAAATATCTACGCAGAAAAATTCTGTCCTTAGGCATTATTTGCGAATTACATAACTTGCATCAGTGTCTTCTATTTCTAATTTGTTTAACAAAATGGGCCGTTTTGGCAACTAATTGAAAATCGTTGCTATCAGATGGTTGGAGGCAATCAGTGGGACGCCTTTAGCCTAGGTTTCCTGCTAGTTGACAGTCGTTAGCAAGGCGTATCTGCAACATTGAAGGAACTCATGTCCCTTCTGAGATTGGATACTCATTGCTGAAGAGTGCCAACTAGCAGGAAACCTAGGCTCTTGCCGACTGTCTCCAACCATCTAATACCAACAACTCAAAGTGCACCATGACGGATAGCCAACTGGCATGGAGGCCACATTACCAACTTGACTGATTGAATTCAGTCTACACCAAAGATGGGACTAGACGCATTACACTAGTTACTGACTAGTGTCCAATCAAAAACAAAATATTTGAAAACCTTTACAGGTTGTGTGTGACTCAGGACAAAGAAGTTCCACTAAGTAATAAATTACGTAAATCGACAAAATAACTGATTACATTTATGTCTACCAAGTGGAAATTAGATTCTGTTCAGTAGAACTGAATGATTCAACCTCATTAAGGATAATAACAGAATCTATAGAAGATTCTCAAATTGTTTATCCATTTTATTATATAACAATCCATTAAATTCCTACGATTAAATATGTGATCTTGGCAATTAATTCCTATGAGAAGGTTTCATTTACAGCTATCTGTCATGATTACTTCATCTTTTTTATGCGTTATCCAAACTACAATGTTCACCAGTGATTACTATGACTGGTTAGAGACTGCTTGTACTTTATTCGCCTTTTTGAAAATATTCACGGTATGGAATAAGTCGAATAATAAAGAAAAGGATTCATAAAGAACCAAGGAGCAGTGAACAGCTGTTTCATCCTAGTTCGGGAATCATCGGCAGTACGCACCCACCAACAGGACGTTCGAACCCAGGACCTTCCGGTTACAAGGCAAGCTCGTACACCTTTGAGCCACTGCGGCCCGACTTATTGGCCAGCCCATGAATTCTAACTTCTACCAATTCGTGATTTTTAGCGTGATTGCCAGCCAGTGTCATCGGTGGGACATCCATCCTCACACGTGACATCTGGATGGACTTCACTGGTCACGACTTGTAGCACTTCACTAGCAGGCATCACATTAATTTTCAAGAGTTGGTTTTTCCAGAACTCCCTGGTTTTCAATGGTTCTCTAATTGATATCAATCCGTGGTTAAACTCGAAAAAACAAATCTAATCCTTACAAATCAACTCTTGAAGATTCATAAAGACTTTTTTTGCATTGACACCATATACTACTATCATAAGCTATTCTTCTACTACTAAAATTGTAATACCTACTATCAAAACTACTGCATTCTACGTGTTAGGGAGTGAAAAAAAACAAGCTAATATCTTGTCAAAACACGAAAACCATTCGTGAATACCTAAATAATCTAGCTGATATTTATTTTATGGGATGTACACTGGTAGATTTAAATTATGCTAAAAATTAATATTCACTAGGCATTTTATAAAAAAGAGGATATAGCTTAAAACATTTACATAAGACACTGTTTCTAATTCTATTTTTAAAAGTGTGTAATTCCACATTGTTGTATGTTTTTTTTTTCTTTCTTTTTCTTCATTTCTCAACACGATAGACATGAAATGATACATTTCAAAACAGGAAATGTTATTCTGTATGAGATGAAATTGAAAAAAAGTAACTTCTTTTCAAGGACCAAAAAAGAAAAAAAAAGAAAAATGCTGTAACAACTTGATAATATTCAATCGACAAGTAGCTGAAACACAATAGAACCTTCATTTAAATTTGTATTAACTTTAATATTTTTTGCTAGTGTATAACATTTCACCCAGATAATCACGTGTCGTTTTGGATTATAAAAATGTACAAATACCAATGGTGATTGATAACCACCTTGATTTAAATAGGGATAGAACATTGGATCATAGATACCGAAATCTTTATCACACCAATCATCATTTGTATGCAATGCATGATGTCGTTTCAATGATTCACTGTCATAATAGCATACTTTGCCTAAATAGGCTGAATCTGTTTCAGTTAATCCTTCACATTTCAACAGAACACCAGTTTTATTCACCAGTGGATCCGGTAACCAACCGTAGATTCGATTCAATTTAATCGCGAAACATGGTCTGCCTTCATAATAACCATAACCATTTTTGATATTACATGGACCAGCCGCGTCTAGATTGAATCGACACGGACGACGAAGATTTAGCAATGTTGGACTATCTTCACATGATGCAAACATTCCACCGACTAAATTATATTGATAATAAGATAGAAATGCTGTCATTTCATCCATCATAGATGAATAAGACACTGGATTGGAAGTACGAAAATTGATCAGACTTGTTAGAACACTTGGATTCGGTACCATTGACAGACCTGGATTCATTTTCAGTTGATTCTGTAATCCTGTAAGTTTAGGATAATCAGCTAATATTGTAAAGTAGAATAATATGTACATGTAAGCTGCGAAAACAACACAAACAAGGGAATACAGGCTAGTTAAATACAAATATCGAAATAAAAGTTTCTTCCAGAAATCTTTACTACTACAGATAACTTGAAGACGAGATATAATTTGAAAGCGTTTCTTGATTTGATAGAATTTTCCTTCATATTGTTTATTGCTGGGGAATTTTTCGTCTTCGCTAAGCAATCTAGTCGTCAGCATTTCAAGAAAACGTTTTGATAAGTATTTTCAATTTAGAAACAAGCGTTTGACGTGAATAACTTGAGTAAATAATGTCTTGCTTTTTCAGTGGATCGTTTTGAAAATTTGAGATAAGATTGGCTGTTTTGATGATAATAATAATAATAATAAATGCAAATTTATGTAAACATAAAAAAGTATGTGTTGTCCTGACTTGAAAGTCACCTTAATTCTTTGCATGAACTAAAAAAAACAGAACGAAATGCAATTCTGCAAATTTTTCAGGCGAGAAAAAAGTGTTCACAGTTAATAAATTTGATTGCTGCTTTCTATGTAAAATAAAATTCTCATCCACTCAATGAATCTATAAAAATTTTAAAAAAGTATTTAGATTGGTTGAATAAGCAGTTGGAAAATGCTTTATTTATTTGTGAAAAAGCCTTGAGGAATTTCTGATCTTACATGAATACAAACAAGCAACAAAGGTTAATAAAGCAGGATTTAATGAATTCATCAAATTTCGGTAGAACTCGTCAGCTGAATACTCTACATACATAGATATATATACTTTTGAAATTACATTGGGAGATATAAGACTGATAAGCAAATAAACTACATTGAATTAGTTATGCAGAAAGACAGGTGCGAATGTTTGCCAGGTCATGTTCAAATAGATAAGGGGAGAGGGAGCATGAGAGATTAAAATATAGATAAAATGCATTACGCTTCAATTACATCAGTTAGATAAACAATTAATCATTAGAGAGTATATCAAGAATTCCAAGCTGAGAAATATTAATAGTAATAGTTATAATAATAATAACAATAATAATAATGCTGAAGTGAGTTAAGATAATGCTACAGATAAAAGATAGTGAGTGCGTACTGCCGATCATTCCCAAACTAGGATGAAACAGCTGTCTGGCAGTACTCCCTGGTTTTCAATGGTTCTCTAACTGATATCAATCCGTGATCGACCCGTAAAAACATAACTAACCCTTACAAACTGTAGAAAATTTTTTAAAATTAACCAAGAATAGTAATAAGGGGTGGAATAATGAGTAAAATGTATTATCAGGGTAGATTCAGAGTGACGACCATCTCTTTTTGTACACAGAGACCTGTTTTATAAACTCGAATCGTACAAGCCTCTGCAATTGCAAGCATCATCCTGTTTGTTTGTCTGCTGACAATAGTGAATGACTTGACAGCGTCGATATCATGTCCATAATCCACAAGATGTTTTGTTATTGAGGTTTTTGGCACTTTGAATTCAGCTGTTTTCAACCCCCTTGGCAGATGCTTCATCATGTGAGTAGACAATTGCCTTTCTCTACGACCTATGTATTTGCTTCCACAAACAATACATTGATAAAATGTGTAAAACAAGACGCCTTTAAAAGTAAATTTCTTGATGATCTTAACAGCAATATTTAGTTAATTAAACACTATGGCCGGAGTACAATGAATATTAATTACTGAACGTTATAAAGGCATTTATGAATGATATTTTAGAAACAATTTTAATATTGTTTTGACTAATTGTACTGGACCAAAATGCTAAGCCTCTATTTACATTTCAGTCCTTAGTAGGGGGTGCTTCGAGGATAATCTGAGGTCAGAATCATGCTAGTTGGTTGATAGAGGTCAGTCGGAGAATTCAGGACTCGTCATTACTCACTGAGAGAGATATAGCAGTATATCCAACTGTTTGGTCCTAAGCAGGATGAAACGCGCGTCATGTAGTTGTTACCTGTTAGCCACTAATTAATCAGACAACATTTCTGAGTGACGTTGCATAAATGCCTCCAACTATCTAACTAGATTATTGTACTTTTTCAGTGATATGTTTAGATGAATGAAAACTAGACCACCATCATAGTCCTTCTTCTTATTGAGACACCACTTCCACCGTGTTTCTTCCAGTTTTATCAAAGTAAATTAGAGGTATGTCGTAAATTGGCAGAAGTTAGAATTCATGGGTTGGCCATTGGATTGGATGCCAGTGGCTTAATGGTCTACGAGCTGGCCTTGTAACCAGAAGGTCCTGGGTTCGAACCCCTGACGGTGGATGCGTACTGATGAAGAGTCCTAAGCCCTATGAAGAAACAGCTGTCTAGTACTCCGATGTCAGCTCATGATGAAATCCTGTAACCAATTTACAATTTATTAGTATTCATATAGTATGACTGAAAATCCATCTATCGTCTGTAGAGTTTATTTAGTCCTAGAAAACATTAAATAGTGTTTCAATTACTTTTACTTGATTATGCGTATAATGTCATCACGTGAGTTCTGAACTGCGTCACTGTTACAGCTCCAGTGAGTACTATACAAGTTTCCATTTGCGACTTGGGTTCTTGAGCATGAATGCCAGAGGCGTTTACTGACTGTAATTATGGCTAAAGCCGATGGCAGGACAATTTTTAGAAAAACTGATAAGTGAATTTATAAAGCGTTCAGATGTTCAAACCAAGTCCACATCCAGTTATTTGAAAGTGTTTGGCTACTGGATATTTATCTCATTCTGGGATTTATATTTCTCAAAGAAATGAAAAACAAAACAAGATTGTTCCATATTAGTTTGTTTATTTGATATATCACACAGTGAAACAGTATTATTTACTGGATGACGTTTCGAACAAAATTTATGAACAATAAATTTTGTTCGAAACGTCATCCAGTAAATAATACTGTTTCACTGTGTGATATATCAAATAAACAAACTAATATGGAATTACTTACTACCACAGTGCCCAAGTTTTACACATATATTAATAAAACAAGATTGTGATGTGGTTGTGTTCTCTGAGCTGGATAGTTTGTTTGCGAAGCTTTCATTGCCCCCTACTAGGCAACATCTTCATCGCATACTTCAGTTTGCTGAAGTGAACTTTTAAGATTTCTCCACGAGTTCATTAGTCATCTCCCCTGGTATCCTTGAACGTGATTGGTTGTTTTGTGTGTGTTTTCACACCCTCTAGGCTACTTATATTGGAACTAATTGTTTCCTCGAATTGAACTTTGACCCCTTGTGTGTGAGATTTCCTTCTTATTGATTGGCAAAATTTGTGTATGTCGATGTGTCTATTGATTGATGATTCACTGGAACACCAGGCTTCTAAAAATTCTCTAGCATTCTTGATGTGTTCCTCTGTCTAATACTTGAACGTTGTCCTAGTCGAATTGATGTCCGTGATTGTCTGTGTGTAGTAATATGAGGGAGTGGATGTCATGTCTTTTGATGGCTAGTTCATGCTCATGGATACGAAGACAAAGGGGACGTCTACTTTGGCCAATGCAGTGTTTTTCACAGTTGTTACAATTTATTTTGTAGATGATGTTGGTTTTATCTTCTTTCGTTGTTGAGTCTTTTGGCTGACACAAAGCCAGATGAGTGAAGTGATTTTGTTGGTTTGTGTACGACGTCAATTCCTAAAGGTTTGAAGAGTCTTCCGGTGATTTCTGAGATGTCCTTTATATATGGTAGGGCCCTACAAATCCTCTCCATCATATCTAAAACAAGATTGTTTAAGGTGACTTTCAATTAGTTTACTTTAATATAATAGTCGACATAGTTTTTTACTGAAAATTGGCATTCTGTACTTTTAGTAACACAGTCAAGGTTCTGCATATCTACCACTGTGTTATCAAATAGCTGAAATCACAAGAAATACATCCTTATGCGAATTTCACGTGTGATAAATTTATGAACGATCGATCCATCTGTTTGTGTTACTCACTATGTGGTTTTTTTTTATCACACGCATATTAATAAAACTTGTTCGTGAAGGTGAGGTTAAAACAAATCAGAACTGTATTTAAAGCAGTCAGTTCCCTTTAGGAATTTCTACAAAACATCAAGAAAACGTAATCTGGGGGGAGGGGGGAAACATGTAATGTATCTGCGCATCAGATTAGTTTTCAAGAATTAGTTTGTAGGTATTTGATTTGTTTCAAGTTTACCCACAGATTTGTGTCAGTAAGAGGGTCACTAAAACACCAGGGAGTACTGGACTCATAGGAAGTGGTCAGAGTTGAAATAAGTCAAACACCTACAAACCAACTCTTGAAAATTAATCTGATTCTCGCTAGTGGCGGGCTACGGGATCAAGTTTCTTGAAGCTCTAGTGAAAAGTCGTGACCAGTGGTGTCCAACTGGCCGAGATAGAGGGCAAATACTTCCCGAAGACATTGGTTCATGATCTCCATCAAATCACGAACTGGTAGAAATTAGAATTCACATGCCACTGAACTGTGTCCCGGTAGCTGAATGGTCTACGAACTTGACATGTAACTGCAATATCTTGAGTTCGAACCCCGGCCGGTGTGTATTGATGAAGAGTCCCACACTAGGATGAAACAGCTGCCCAATAGTCCATAGTTTTCAGTGGCTCTCTAACTTATATCAATCCTTTATGGAACTTGAAACAAATCAAATCTTAACAAACTTACTCTTGAAAAAGCAGAATAACTGTTTTCAAAATCTTTCCTGAACGATCTAATTACAATATTTATACTTATTCGGATGCCTCAACTAACTTTGTAATTATTATCCAGTTTCCTTCTAAACTGTACATCATTGCTATGCCATTTGCATATCATATGTTGACTCCATCTCTTTGTCACTTACTGCCTAATCTCTAATTCTAATGCTTCTATTTGTGGTTGTATGATGACATTGATAATGTGTTGTTTTAAGGTCTGGTTTATTTGTGTGAATGAAGGTCACTCTGACCCTGGACTGTCTGTAAGAAGTATTGGTATGTGATTTTTGTGGATAGAGTTTTGGCTTCAGCCTGTTGGCAGTATTCTATCTGATTCTCAGGTACTTCTTATGGATGGATTTCGGTGAACTAATTTTGTCCTACGGTAGCTGTTTTATACCAGAAAGTCACCTTACTTGTATAGATGCATAACGGTACTGTTGGGGTGACTTTGAGTTTTTGATGTTATTATTTTTGAGTAGAACCACATAGATCTGTCGACGAATGACCGTCATTTTATTGTCTTTGGAGAGTTTTTTAACTGTGTGTTTCAGACAGCTATGCAGTAGAACGCAAAGATCACTTCTTCGCGTTCAGACCATAACGAGTCGG